GAAAGAGAAAGATGGAGTAGGACTCTATAATTTAAAAGGCATTTAAGAGGTACAACACCCAATTGCAATATGAAACTCAAACACTGAAATGTATTTGATATTAGAGTTATTTCTTTTTTAAAAATATTTATTTTTTTATTTTGGCTGCACTGGGTCTTAGTTGCGGCACGTGGGATCTTTTAGCTGCAGCATGTGGACTCTGAGTTGCGGCATGCGGACCCTTAGTTGTGGCAAGCAAACTCATAGCTGCGCCATGCAAACTCTTAGTTGCGGCACGTGAACTCTTAGTTGCAGCATGTATGCGGGATCTAGTTCCCCAACCAGGGATCGAACCTGGGTCCCCTGAATTGGGAGCATGGAGTCTTACCCACTGGTCCACCAGGGAAGCCCTAAGAGTTATTATTTCTTAAGATGTGATTATGGTACTATGGTTAGGTTTTGAAGAGTATCTTTTTTTTTTTTTTAAGGTTGTTTTAGCCTCTTATTTTAAATATTTATTTATTTTTGGCTATTCCTCATGGCTTGTGGGGTTTTTTTTTTTTTCGGTACGTGGGCCTCTCACTGTTGTGGCCTCTCCCGTTGTGGAGCACAGGCTCCGGACGCGCAGGCTCAGTGGCCATGGCTCACAGGCCTAGCCGCTCCATGGCATGTGGGATCTTCCCGGACCGGGGCACGAACCCGTGTCCCCTGCATCGGCAGGCGGACTCTCAACCACTGCGCCACCAGGGAAGCCCCCGGCTTGTGGGATCTTATTTCCCGACTGGGGATTGAACCCCGGCCCATGGCAGTGAAAGTGCAGAGTCCTAACCACTGGACCGCCAGGGAAGTCCCTGAAAAGAGTATCTTTTATAGATACAGAATTTAAGTGTTTATGGATGAAAGAATAGGATGTTCTATATATGCTTCCAAATAATACAGGGGAAAGAGGTGGGGAATATATGGGTATATGGATGAGACAAGACTGGCCATGAGTTGACAACTGTTGAAAGTGAAAGAGGGGAGGGGTACATTGGGATTCATTATACTATTCACTCTACTTTTGTCTATGTTTAAAAGTTTCCACTAAATAAGTCAAATAAAAGAATAAAAAGTTATTGTGTTGACCCATTTACCATCCCAGGTTCTCCCAATTTTCCTCAAAGAAAGGGAACAAAGAAGAAAAAGACATCACTGTGTCTCTGAAAAAGAAATAGCCCAGGAACTGAAAATGGATTCTCTGGGAAGGGACATTTCCCGACATGGTGTGGAAAAGAATAAGGGGCTGTAGAAAACAGTGTTAGCTATGGTGTGAGATCATGCGGTTTGGACACTGTGTTAAAGGGGATTACAGCATTCATTGAGTTAAAGCTGATTTCAGAATAAAAGAACTGATGTGTATAAACCTAGTAAGAACATCTGAAGCTTTGGCTTATAAAATGAACTCTTGACATGAGTGAGTGAAAGGATAATTGCATATAAACCCTGTGTATCGAATCAGGAGGGTTTTAATTACAAAGGAGTCTCCTGAAGCCCTCTGCTCATCCCTTATTAAAGCCCTTATCACACTGCGGTATATTTACCTGCTGGCCGTCCTCCTCTGGACAGAGCCACTTGTCATTGCCCCTGGGAAGGTAGCCCCAATCTGAATACAGTCATTCAGATACTCCATCCCTCAAGCGAAAGTAAGACTCCCTAGGTGCACCAGGATCCTGGCTCAGAGAAGAAATGGCATTGGCACTCAGGTGATAAGTTAATATAAAACAGAAAGAACGAAGGAAGGAAGGAAGGAAAGAAGAAAGCCAGATGTTCTTTATAATGTCTCAATGACTTATGTAGCGGTAGCTTACCTGATTACAAGTAATTGGAGGCTCCCTCGTGATCCTGAGGTTCTTGGGAAAGAAGGGGTTAATGCTCTCCCAGTAATCCCTTCCAGGCTAAGCACTCCACTGCACAGATTTACATGAGGAAAGTTATCTGTGAGATTAGAAGTCATTCTTTTCCAGTGAAAGCTGGCAGTCCACAGCTTACAGTGGGAGGCACAGCCAGCTCATAAATCTGCAGCGCTCAGGGCTCTGGACAGCCCTCTCATTGGCAAAACTGACTGATGCTTCTGCCAGGGAGGCTCCAAAGAAACTGTTCATCACTATCTCATTTAGAGACTTGATATCCAAATGGAGACACTGACACCCAAGTTTATAGATCTGAGCAAAGCCCATAGGTACCAAATCTGTGTAAATCAGGATGGGAGGTCTGCAAGGGCCCTAAGGGCCAGGATCTTCCAAGATGCCAGCTTCTGACTCTCTGAAGGTGTACAGCACCTGGGACACTTGATCTGGAGACTTCATAACCAAAATGTATGGAAGGAACTGTATGTATGAAGTCTCAGCCCAGGAGCAGGCTGAGAGAGCCCCTCTCCAGGTTGATGTCAGGTATTCTGAGGCAAGGCAGAGAGCCAGGCAGCTGTGGCCACTGTGTCCTCCACCTCTGTCCCTCTGCAGCTGAGCTCAGGTTTTCTTGTTCTAGGTGATGTGAGCCCACAGCGCATCACTGTGTCTCAATGAACAGCCTATGTCTTTACTTTCCCAAAAGCCACGGGAAGTTGACTACTCTTTTCAGAAAAACGGGTAACTAATTGCTTTCTGCTCACGCAAGACCCCCTCTGTGAAGCCTTCCCCCAGGCCAAATGAGTCAGTGTTTCTGTGCTCCCACAGTGCCCATCAACTCACGACTTGGCCATGGCACTTCTCACAGAGCCTGGCCCACCGCCTGGTCCTTATCTGGTGAGCTGTTTTACCCATGGACCAAGGTGCCTTGAGGCAGACTCTATCTGATTTTGCAGGTCCCCAGTGCCCAGCTCACAGAGGCCACAAAGTGGCCTCAAATAAACATTGAGTGAGGAAGTAAATTATGATCCAGGACTCAGTGAGCCAAGGCACTTCTGGTAAAAGCCCACATCCTGACTCTTGCCTGAATCTTACAAAGTCACCTCCACCCACGCAATTAACGAAGCACTCGCCCTGTCTGTGCTAGGCGGGTATTAGGCCAAGACCGGGGAGTCCAAGTGAAATAAGAGTCCCTTCCCCATGGACCTCAGATGAAGATCCATCCTGCTCTGGGGCCTTCTCTGCTAACAGTCAATGGAGTCCATTTGCAGGATGAGCTGGACAAATGTGCAGACAATTCAACAGTAATGCATACAACCTACCACATGCTCATTCTAAGGCAGTGGGCTCCAAAAACAACCCACTGAGGTAGTGGAAGCAAAATATTAGAACTTCTATCAATATTTATTTTTCATCAAAAAATAAGGAATTAAGCTTTAATAGTTACTATACGGATTGACAACAGTCTTTGTAAATGCTTCCAATATAAACGTGTCACTAAAGGTGTGTGCTTGTGGCAGAGACTCTAAAATGGCCTCCATATGATATATATGTATAGCAAATCATCACAATGTGCACTTTAAATATCTTACAATTTTGTCAGTTCATCCTCAATAAAGCTGAAAAATTAAATTAAATTAAATTAAAAAATAAAAATGGCCTCTAATGATCCGGTATTTATGCCCTGATGTGTCCTGTCCTCTGGAGTGTGGGCAAGACTTGCGACTTGCCTCTAATCCAAAGAATACGGCAAAGGTGATGGATGTCATTTCTGTGATTACATTACATAGACGGTAACTTGCATCTTCCTAACAGAGTCTCTGTTGATTATCTCCATTTGTGGCTTTGATGAAGTAAAAGTCCTCATATGGAGGGGCCTATGTGGCAAGGAACTGAGGGCAGCCTCCAGCTGACCATCAGCAAGGAGGCCATTGGTCTGGCAGGCCACAAGGAACTGAATCCTGCCAAGAACTATGTGAGCTCGGAAGAAAATCCTTCCCAGCCCAGTTTTCAGCCGAGACCCCGGCGCAGACAACACTTTTGAGTGCAGCCCCGTGAGAGTTCTAAGCAAGGAGAAGGAAAAGGAGAGAACTAAGCAAAGCTACGCCCGGATTCCTGACTCACAGAGACAGTGAGATAATGAATGTGTGTTTTTCGAGCTGCAAGGTTTGTGGCAATATTGTTAGGCAGAAATAGATAATACAGTCCTCAAATTCTTAACTGACAGGATGTGCAATCAAAGTAGTGTGGAGACCTCTAGATTAGCAAAGTAGGCGTTCCCCACCCGCAAAAGAGCCAAAGGTCAGCAGGGGAGCCTGCAAGTTTTCGTGGTAAAAAGAACATCAGCCTAAAAAGTGGGAAAGTGGAAAAAACCTCAGGAATTGGTTCCCGAAGACCTGGGTTTGATTCCCAGCTCTGCCTCTAAGAGAGGGGTGATCTTAGTCAACTCAGACTTACTAAAGCCCAGCTTCCCTCATCCATATAATGGGGGACAACAAGGCTGGTAAGAGCGGCCAATGAGAGTGATCTGGACAGTATTTTGTAACATAGAATGTGATATACACGTTAGTTTGCTACCAAACCTGGCCTTGGGCAGGGCACTGTCCTCTCTTGGCCCTAGCTTCCTTATTGTAAAAAGAGGAGGGAAGCACATCCCATCTCCAAGGGCTCTGACCTTCTTTGATTCTAGCATCACCTATAATGTGAAGAGAGGAAGCGGGGAAATCAGGCTCTGACATTTACAGCGGTTTCCTAGTCACGCCATTGGCCAGGATGACTGTCACACCAGCAAGGCAACCAGAGAGGCCTCTGTTTGACCAATCACATCTTGTCACCTTGCAAGGGTCGGCAACCTAAATTCCTCAACTAAGAGGGAAAATCTCCATTTGTTTTACAAAAAGGAAATAAAGGGTGACAGTAAAGTCAGTAAGAACCACCAAATTTCAGCACAGATTACTAACCCCTTTCAGAGGGGCAGCAGCTTGATTCTATTACTGAGCACCAACTATGTGCCAGGAGCTTTTATCAACATGATCTCTACTTTCACTACAATCTTATAATATAATACACACACATACCTCACTTCAATGTTCTTCACTTTATTGCACTTTGCAGATATTGTTTTTTACAAATTGAAGGTTTGTGGCAGCTCCACACTGAGCGAGTCTATTGGCACCAGTTTCCCAAGAGCATTCATCTCTGTGTCACATTTTGGTAATTCTTGAAATATTTCAAACTTTTTCATTATTATCCTATTTGTTATGGGGTCTCTGATCAGTGATCTCTGATGTCACTACTACTAGGACTCACTCAGGGCTCAGATGATGGTTAGCATTTTTTTAAGCAGGAAGTACTGATACTTTCTAATTAAGGTACGTGCATTGCTTTTCTAGACATAATGCTGTTGCATACTTAATAGGCTACAGCATAGTGTAAATATAACTTGTAGATGCACTAGGAAACCAGAAAATTCATGTGACTTGCTTTACTGCAATACTCACTTTACTGTGGTGGTCTGGAACTGAACCTACAATATCTCCGAGGTATGCCTGTAGACTGTATCATTTTCATTTCATAGTAAGTTAGCTGAGGCTCAGAGAGAGTCAGCCCCTTGCCCCAGGCACACCGCTAGTACATGGTAGGGCAGGGATTTTCATTCTGTTTGACTCTAAAGGCCTGGTCATTGCAACACACCCTGTTGCTCTGGGAGATAGCAGCTTGGGCAGAAAGGTCAGCCCATGATTACAACACACAGTAAAGGTTCTTGGCCTACAGTGAGATCATGTGCAGAGTGCGGCTCCATTCATTCATTCCACAAACATTTACTGAGCACCCACTGTATATACCACATCATGTGGTGGGCAATGAAGTAACAGAGAAATATCCATTCCTTGTTCTTATGAGGAGACATCCCAGTACATGGAGGACAAATGGATGAATAAATGCGTGAACAAATGGATAAGCAGATGGACACACTGACAGTGAGTGACTGGTGTTTCGAGCACCACTAATAAAGTGATATGTAATATAGGGTGTAATGGGTTCACAGGTAAGTGATGACTGCTGGAAGGGAAGGAACATTTCAGACAACTGGATCAGCAAGTGCAAAGGCAGGATGTGTTCTGGAGATGGCAAGCAGCTCAGCACGGCTGCAGGCTCAAAACACAGAGGAGGTGGAACGGGAAGGCGAGAGACCAGCCATGGAGGAACAGGGTCTTTTTCCTGTACTCTGACCCTCTGAGCTAACCACCAACACTGGAATCATCAAAGAGGCCCAAGAACAAACTGGGCGTGAGACCCGGTAAGCTTCGGAGAACTGCATGAGTAATTCAAGAGCGGTCACACTCAGGGTCTGAGGCCAGCCTGAGAAGTCACAGAGAAACTGGAGAAAACCACTAGACTGTAATCAAATGGAACAAACCTATGCTGTGCTGCTGGGAAGGGGACAGGGAGTAGAAGAGAGGGGATGCTGGGGCCAAAGGGCAGGAACTCCTCTTACAGAAGAATCTGAGAGCTCGTGTTTCCCAAATGTATAAAGCCAGATGAGTCTACTTTCCAGCTGAAGCCTCAGCAAGAGGGACACACACAGGGACATGTGTGTGCACACACACCACACTGAATCATGCAGACAGACAGAAGGGCCTGGCCCTCTCAGTGCTTGATGCTAACAGCAGCAGGACTGATGCCCCTGCCCATTTTTACTGTACCTCATAGTGAGAAGATGAAAAGATAATCGCTCACTTTCCCCTTTAGCTGGACTTCGCTGCTGCAACTGTTTGGTTTGGAGCAGCTGTGCTTGTTGGGAGATGGTCCATCTCTGGTGCGTCAAAAAAGTAGGCCTGCAGGAAAAGGAGACCCATGAGGGTGGTTAATAAATAATGGTCCAGGTGCATGTCCTAGACTCCATGCTGACAGTACCTCTGGGCTCTCGTGGCCCCTACATTTCCCCCACTGCACTGGTCATCACTGAACTGTCTCTGTTTCTGTCTCTTACTCGACTGAGACTGCCTTTTTAAACTTTGCTACCATTTATTAAGCACTTGCTACCTATGACTTAATCTTCATAACAACTCGGTGAGGTTGTTATCACTACCCTCATCTGACAGATGAAGAAACTGAGGCTCAGAGAGGCTGCCATTCGATTAGGTGCACGTGGCAGCAAGTGGTGCAGCCAGGACTCAATGCTTGGTCTTTCCGACTGCAAAGCTCAAGCTGTTAATCACCACAGTCTCTCCTCCAAAGACCGTGTCCTTCCTGTCTCTGCGTCACCAGCCCCTCACACAGGGCCGGGCACACTGTGTAAACAATCAATACTTAATGAACTGAACCAAGGTAGACTGCTGCCAAACCAGTCGGCTCCCCGTAAAGACCTTTCAAAGAAAATGCTAGGCAGGCTTTACCTCTTAATTCTTCAACTTGGAGATGAAAGGTTTGATAAGTGCTTCCACTCACCATCTACAATTTAACTATCAAAAATCAGAAGGAGGTGGAAAACGGAAAAACATCAGGGAGGATCTTCCCACCTGTTTCGGGGTCTGAGAAGCCTAACGTGAGCCCAGGAAAATACCAATCTCACTAGCCTTGAACTCGGGTTGTTCGAAGGACAGGTGAACCCATTAGTAAATCAGGGACCACTGCCTGCGCATGACTCGCCCCTGGAGCCGGGGCCTCAGGAAGGTAAAAAAGATAAAAAGCCACCAAGTCAAGAGCCATCTCACCAGCTCTGCTCTCTATCAGCCAGAAGGGGGCGCCAACACAACACGCTGGAGTTTCCCCCAACATAATTCCTATTTCGAGTTCAGTCTTCAACAATCCATTTCAAAAAGTTCCTACCTGCAGACTCCCTCTAGTTTGTCACATCCCCTGGGCAATTCTAGTAGTTTTAAAAGCCTTCCTCCCCAAGGCCCCTTCCAGCAGCTGTTTTCCGAGGAAGGAGAATGGTCCCTAACCCAAGCAGGGGCAGGGGCCATGCTACTAGCGTTATCTACTAGGGCCCCTCCAGTTATCTTGTGGGTGCACTGAGCCAAGAAGCCCCCAGGATGCAAGAACAACGACTATCTTCCAGGTTCCTGGAGGAAACCCTCACCAGATGGAATAAGCCAGGAAGCCCAGCTTCTAAACCTGGCTCTGAGCGCTTCCCTGGTGGCGCAGTGGTTGAGTCCGCCTGCCGATGCAGGGGACATGGGTTCGTGCCCTGGTCCGGGAAGATCCCACATGCCACGGAGCGGCTGGGCCTGTGAGCCATGGCCGCTGAGCCTGTGCGTCCGGAGCATGTGCTCCACAACGGGAGAGGCCACAGCAGTGAGAGGCCCACGTACCGCAAAAAAATAAATAAATAAACCTGGCTCTGCTAGGAGCTCGCACTATGACTTTGGACAAGTCTTATCTGTTAACTGAAAGGATTGGAAAAAGTAATCCATGAAAATAAAAATAATTAATTCCACAAACACTAGGGCACAGACCCTCTGCTCGGAGCAGTACCACCTCAAACATAGGTTTGTGCATCTCCAAACATACCAGCCAAGGATGCAACCTCTAGTGCCTGCTTAGTCTCCCTGCCAGGTGTGTTCCAGGACCAACTTAGAGATCGTGTACAAGTACCAGCACCGAGGGACCCACAGCAGGTGCTGGGCTGTCATATGCTTCACTGCACTAAGGCAAAAACACCAATTTGTGTTCCCCAGGGGACAGTGACAAGGCTAAGCTGTCTGGTTCAGCCAGTGCCTCTCAGTTCAAGTAACTCCCCTGTCATTTCCTCTCCCTGCCTTTGCAGTGATAATAATTGTACATATCATTCATCCTTGTGGTAACATCTTTACTTCTTTTTCTAAGTGAGGAGGTGGGGGGATCCAGAGGGGTGAACTAATAAGCAAAAAAGCAGGTAGTGATGGAGCTGAGACAACCAAAACCTCAGACCCAGTGGGCCCCTGGCTAAACAAATGGTTCCCTTCCTCCAGGAAAGAAAACTGTGCCTCCCGTCCAAGTAGCGGTCCTACACCTGCGATTAGCTATACCTGCAACACCATCCAATCTGCCCCGCTCCCCTGAGTCCCTTAAAACCGAACAGGGCAATGTCTTTTCTCCTGCCTCCTTCTCTCCTCCAACTTCTCAACCGTGTGTGCGTGTGTAAGAAGTTCAAGAGAGAGATGGGAAGATGCCAGGGAGGGGCACCAATGAAAGGGCACTGTCCCTAGGGTTGTGGCCTGGGACCGCTCTTACTGGGGCACTCGGAGGAACAGGCAGCAGAGTGGCCCTGGCAGTTTCTGATGACACAGGGCTCGTTTAATAACTTCTTTACATCTGAAGGAACTATCACGGCATATGAAGTGCTTTCACAGCCATTTCACTGAGTCTCACAAAAGCCCGTGAAATATGAATCTCCCTGACAGATGAGGAAACCCAGGGTCTGAGTTCTGAGAGCCTAGGCTCTCAATATTAAGCAGCTCCCAGCCCAGTGCTTTCTACTTCGTTATGATGCTCTCTTTAAGAAAGTTCCTGAGTAGCAAGATGGGCAGGTAAACCCTAACTTCAGTGTCATTTACCCCAAAAGGGAGGAGTAGGCCTAGGAGGTAAAAGATCCTGGCCACAGGTACCAAATTAAATGTGTTAATAACAACAACACCTCCCTGCTCCATAGCCCCATCTGCCTTGCGCCTCTCTACTCTTTACAGAACAGAACACGGCAATGCCTTTCTCCTGCCTCCTTCCCCTCACCAACTTCTTAACAAGGTACATAACACACACACACACACACACACACACACACACTCAAAATTCAAAAGAGAGATGGGAAGACACCAGTGAGAGGCATTATAGCGAGAGAGTTAGTCACAGTGCAAAGCACATTCTTCCTCAGCAGACAGGAGGGTCACAGGAACGTCACAGCAGCATTTCTAGGCATCAGCCCAGAGATTCCAAGTGCCAGACATTAATAGCGTCACTCTGCTGTCTCAAGGGGTTAAAGCTTCGGCATATGTAAAATGCATGTCAACCAAGAACTCGGCACTTTTTATGAGACTTGTTCAATGATAAAGTATTGGGATCTTAAAGCACTTAATGAGACCATGGTTGTCTACAGAAAATATTCAAGATCAAACAGTGCCAAAGAAATCTTTACTCCTGTAACTGCAAAGCCTGACCAAGGGTCTGGCCATGTGCTATGTGAACATCTTCCTGTGGGCAGCCATGACCTTAACATTCTTGGATTTGGATTTTTTAAAAAACCTATACCAGGCCTTGTTAAGGCCATGGGCAGCAATTTTTACACACAATGTGTACAGAAATTACAAAGAACATGTCTCCTTAGGATCAAAGGAAAGGGATCTAATTTATGGGCATTTATGGGACAAATTCCATGTTAAGTGCTTTATATGTATTATTTTATTTTATCCTCAGAACAACCCTCTGTGGCAAGAACTATTATACCCATGTTGCAGATTAAGAAATTCAGATTCAGAGAAGTTAGGTTCCCTGCCCAAGCTCATACAGCCAGTGAGTGACACAGCTGGTCTTCAATCTGGGCCTGTCAGACTCAAAAGCACATGGTTTCCCTAAAAAGATACCTAAACACATTAATTCAAATATCGTTTTAAATGTTGTTCATCTTAAAGATAACTTTTTCCTATTTTGACTTCATTCTCGAGCTTTCTACCTATGAAACGCTGAATTTTAAAACTCTTTCTGAGTCTGTGCAGAAAACCAGTAAAAGCATCCAGAGGTGGAACACCCGCCCCCCAGACCCTCCGCTCCCCAGCTCTATATGTAGACACTCATCCACCCCTACTTCCTCTGGCCAGACACCAAATCTCAACCAAACTTCAGAAGTTAGGTGAAGTCAGAGATTATAATCAAATTCTCATGACTATTATTTCTCATCTAGGACAGTCTATTTAAAACGATATTTATTTCATGGAGCCAATTTTTAGAGAACCGTGGTGTCTAACAGTTTGAGGTCTTAGCATTTGCATCTAAAGCGCACCGGAAGAGCATCGGAATGAGACCATACCAGGCAGCCCACAGAAAGCAGCATGTGAAGCAACACAATCGTCACAATTGTGGCCAATGCGATGCGTCGGTTGTCCTCACGAACTGCTGGCCAAAATGTCATTGCCAAGACAGAGCCTGAGATGCCCAGGGCAATCATAACTAGAATCCAGCGGACCACTTTCTGGGGGATGATCCACAGTATCTGAAAGAAAAGGAGGGCGGGGAGGGCTTGGGGGACGCATTCAGCGAGGCATTTGTTCGTTCCAGGCACACGTGTTCATAAAGGCCCAGGAGCCTGTCAGCAGCTGGGCCTTCACTGCCACTCGGGTTTCCCAGAACAGCCCAGAGAAACGCCACCAGCGTGCAGACTGAGGGGAACGCTTTCCTAACAAAGGGCTCAAGATCCAGGGAAAGCACTTGGCTCCCCGGCCTTCATTCCCACTAAACTTCTAAATTCAAGGGGTATTTTTCAGATGCACATCAGTGTTAGGCTAGAAATAATGATGCCGGTTGAATTTTCCACTAAGAACAGGGCCTCACTCAGAATCAGTGTGGTACTTACTGCTGTGGGGATATAAATGAAGAGTGAATATCCATAGACGCACACAATCTCCAAGAACGAATAGGAAACGATGTTCATAACTTTACTGTTTCTCCACACAAGGAAACCCCAGAGTGCAAGAGGAACCAGCCAGGCATAGGCATAGATGATTGTGGCTGCGATGGACACTGAGGGCGAGAGGACACAAGTTTTAATTCCACCATGCCTTTAATGCACTGTCAAGGCACTTCCGGTACCTGCTGGACTTCCTTCCCGCAGGAGCGTCCACCTGCCTCACTGGATCAGGGGATCCTGTCTTACTGGTCTCAACCCCTGAGCCTGGCACAGTACCCAACAAGCAGTAGGTGCTCTATAAATGTGCTGAATCCATGCCCCTTTAGCATTTGTGTTTGTGGTGATGACCAGTAGTCTTCCCTATGGTTTCTATAATTCACTTAATTACTACCAACTAATAGTATTAAACAACTGAATTATGCAACTGAAATACTTCTGAGGGCCACACTGCAAGTGTTTAAATACACAGAACATTTCAATCAAATACAGGTCAACTATCCCCTTGGAAGAACACATCTTCCTTCCTAATATAACAAGAGCTGACACTGATTTCTTTAGCAAATTTACGAAAATGACCTGGGTTCAGATTAACTTGTTCTATGTGCTACTTAGAGTTCCTTCTGTGTCTGAAATAGGGAGCTCCAGCTCACCGATGAATTGCTTGGTATAGTCTCCAGTTCCACTTTCTTCTTTAAATAATTCGGTCTCTGTGGTGGAAATGCTACTTAGCGGCTCCTCAGAGGAGCAATGCTCAGTGTATTACTTACTGTCCCTCCCTCCCCCTCCTCTAGCAGCACGCCCTAGAGGATTCGTCCTCCCTCTTCCGGAGTGGAGGATCATAAATGGCTCAGTCCGTAACACCAGCCCTTCCCAGATGAAAGTCACCAGGTAATCCACTGAACGCTCTTGGCAAGAACAAAAGCACTCCTAGCAACTACAGTCAGACTCTGGGTAAGATATGTGATTGTCCAAAACATTTTCAGCTCCCAGAGCAGTTTTTTTCACATGCTGATATACTGCCTTTTTCTTGAGTAACTAAAGGGAGGGGAAGGGAATTGCTACAGTGACTACAGCTGTCCACTGGGTGTCAGGCATTACACTGAGTGCTTTACTGAGAGGTAACGTTGTTCAACAGTCAGAGCTACAGACTGTATATGCAGACTGTAATCCTTGCTCTGCCACTTACAGCTGAGTAGACCTGGGTGGTGAGTTCCTTAACCTTCCTGCCTCTCATCTGTAAAATGGGAATAATAATAGTACACCACCTTATCAGATTATTAGGAGAATTCAATGAGTAAAAACACGTATATTTAGAACACTGATTGATAAATAATAAATGCCCAATCAAGAATAAGCTTTTTACATTGTTAACTTGTATATAAACACATTATTTCATATAATCTACATCTTTATTTTAGAGATGAGGAAACAGGATCAGAGAGCTAAGTGGTTTGGTTAGGGTCAAATAATAAGTGGTAGAAGCAGGACATGACCTTGGATGTGTGACTTATAATCTTTACATAAAATGGAAAAATATTTATTGATCGAGTCAACAACTATCTTACTGGCACACACATCCCATGACTCCCACTGGGATGCCCAGCCAAACAGGATAAGAACAGACAAGGACCCCTGACCCCTGCCCTCCCGCCTCCCCCCACAGCTTCCACACCCTCAGGCAGGGCGATCACTCCTCTTCTCTGTCAATATACCTCTACAGACTTCGGATATAGAAATTAACACATACCATTTATTACAGCAATATGCATTTACCTGTTTTTCTTTACTTAACCACTGAGCTACTTGAAGGCATATTGATAGTTCATGGATAACATTTATTGAGTCAAACTTAAACCAAGGTTACTTGACAAATGGAGTTGGGACTGAATCCAGGTCTGACTCCATAATGGAGGAGAGAAGGGAAAATGGGCATGGAGGGTAGAGGGGAGGAAAGGAAGGCTACGTGGACATACACACAGGTAAATACATTTCTCTACAGGCACACAGATATGTGTACATACATATGTAGCAATAGTTAATTTTACTGAACTCTTTTTGTACAAGGCACTATTCTAACCTCTTTACATACATCACTTCTTTATTCTTACAATAGCCCTATAATATAGGTATTCTTATTCCCATTTCACTGATAAGGAATCTGAGGCCAAGAGAGATGAAATAATTTGCCCAGCAAGGTAGAAGCTAGTGAATGGTGGAGCTGGAGCCGGAAGCCGATGGCCTGGTTCCCGAGCCCATGCTCTTACACAGCCTTTCAACAGGAGAGCAGGCCAGAAGGGACGGAGGAAGGGAAGGAGAGAATGGAGAAAGTGGCACAGGCCAATCCCCTGCAGAGCCAAACACCTCCAACTTGGGGTGGCTGACATCTGCAAATCCCTCACAGCTGTTTGGTTTTTTTTCCCCAGCTATCCAATACTGCCACGAGAAAGGACGTTTTAAAATAAGAACGCCATCCACAAGCCCATCACTAGGACATGTTCACTTCTGCATTCCCCCTCCTGGGCCCTGACCATTTGTAAACTTCTCTTTAACAAAGCTGCTAACAGCACTGGCCTAAGTTTGTTTTTTTGTTTGTTTGTTTTTTTGTGGTACGCGGGCCTCTCACTGTTGTGGTCTCTCCCGTTGCGGAGCACAGGCTCCAGACACGCAGGCTCAGCAGCCATGGCTCACGGGCCCAGCCGCTCCGTGGCATGTGGGATCTTCCCGGACCGGGGCACGAACCCGTGTCCCCTGCATCGGCAGACGGACTCTCAACCACTGCACCACCAGGGAAGCCCCAGCCTAAGTTTGGTTTTCCATGTTGCTCTAAGTGCTTCATAATTAATGGCTACAGACCCAGCTAGTTGAGTCATCATGCCTTAAATAACAATGCCCCTATTGTTTCCAACATTTGGATAATACATATAATGCTACAGTGGAGACTTCCATGCACACTGCTTTTTACTTATTTTGTACATTTTTCTTTGGATAAATTCCGATTGCTATGGGGTCTTGCCTTTCAGTTTTCCAAGAGTATATGGATTCACAATATTGAATATACTTAATGCCACTGAACTATACACACTTAAAAATGGTTAAAATGGTACATTGTAGGTTATATATATTTTACCACAATAGAAAATAAAAAGACTATGTGGATTTATATAGACGGATGATTAATTTTGAGCCCTTAAATACAGAAAAAAAAGGGCTGCAGGACCTACAGACAGGGGTCTAAGAGCTCAGTGGGTAAAAAGAACTCACGGTTACCAACTAACAGCATTCCAAATGAGTCAAGCTATTCACCAACCTTTTCGGAATTCGGGCACATAATGGTATGTCTTCCTTCCCAGATGGATTAAGAAGTTGGAAAGATTCCCACTAATTGCTATGGCAAAGACCAACGTGGCACATATCCAAAAGGGGCCTGCAAAGCAAACCAGAAAATTCAGACAAGAAAATGAAGAACCAGCTTTTAGGCTCTCACAAAATAATTTCTTATCTCCCTCACCCTATTCATGTGAGGTGAATATGAATTTTAGATGGAATCTAAAGGGAAGGGAAAATGAATTTTAGATGGAATCAATACTCGTTTAGTGGAGATTTTCTTTTTTTAAAGGTCAAACATGCAACTCAGTAATTAGCTGCCTTAAAGACAAGGGGGATTGAAATGCACAGACCAAAACACCTTCCATGATTAGATGAATAAAGACACTGATTTGCTTATAGTTCCTTTTATTGGAGGATCATCAAAAAAAATTTATGGACGTTTTGTTAAAGTTTACTTCACCATCAGGATACAGGAAGCAAAGGTTACTTCCTTTACATAAGTACCAAATGTTAATGCCAGAGAAAAATATTTTAAATCAGATAGGTCCTTTGTTGTCTAAATGGAAGAGTAGGGCAAGCAGAACACTTTAGGAAAGGGTTCATTTAATCTAACAAATCACCGTGTATGTGTATGTGTGTCTTTATTTTTTTCTTTCTTTTTTTTAATCAAAAAGTAACACATGCACATAGTTCAGTGTTCAAAAGGCACAAAAAGGGAATATAGAGAAAAGTAAAATTCCTTTCCTCTCTGTTCCCTATCTATGCATTTTGCTTCCACAGAGCTCACCACTGTAACCAGTTTCTGGTGAATCCCGCCAGAGATTCCTATACACATATAAGCAAATGCATATTTGTGTGTGTGGTGTGTGCGCGCACACGCTTTATACAAATGCTAACAAGCATATGTATTTCCACCTTACTATGTTCTGGAGATTCTACTATAGCTATTCATAAAAATCAGCTAATTCTTTTTTAGTGATTATAAAAAATTCCGCTAAGTGGATGAGTGCACCATGCTTTGTAAATCCCTTTCATTACTTCGCGTGATTTCATGAACACCATCCTTGTTTCTCCCCATCTAGAAAAAGGACTATTAGAACAAATACAATTTTTAAATTTAGAGATTTTAATAAATTTTATGAATTTCATTTTTCAATTTCACTAATATTCTGCAATATCTTTTGGGATAACTGCAGGCACCTTGACATATAAAATTAAGAAAATTATTGTGTTGGGGGAGATGACTAGCAGAAATGCATGAGCGCTTTTCGAAGTCAAGTTGCTTCCTTAAGGTGGGAAAGGGAGCACGAGCACTTGACTGGGAGGCTCCAAAGAGCCACCAACATCAGCTTCCCAAGGAGTGCCATTTACTCACTAGCCTGCAGGCGCTCTGATATAGCCAAGGATTAGATCCTGTTCACTGTATTATTCTGAGTGACTAACACATAAAATATTTAACAACAACAACAACAAAAACCCCTACAACCAACAACAATAATTTAAAAATCTCCAAAAGCTTTATTGAACAAATGAACAAAACTGACGTGCTGTTGATGGGCTGAGACCATCAAAGCATGCGACCACAAGTGGTCAAAAATATTATAGTACCCATAACTAGAAAGCAGAGACTATCGGATCCTGTCAGCCATTATTTACTAAATACCTACTATCCTCTGGGCCCTGGGCTGCTGCTGGGGACACAATGATGTGTGACAGACACAGTTGCTGCCTCTGGTGCACTCAGGCACACAGGAAGCTTGGCCTCTAGAGAAACACAACCACCTGCTTGGCCTCTAGAGAAACACAACCGCCAGGCCTGCCACAATGCTGCATTCTGTCTTCTTTCTTCCTCGTTCCTGCCAAATGCCTACTCTAATTATGGGGTGGGGTGGGAGGGAGCGTTAATTTAGTTTGTATTGTGCATTTTATATTATAAAATATTTCTAACATACAGAAAAGCCCAAAAATGATAAAACAAAGTGGTATACCCATCATGCCTCTTTTCCAAATCTTTCTAATGCTGTCATACTACTTATATCCTTCTACAACATGCTTTTTTTTAAATTGACTATCGTTCTGAGATGTATCCATGTTGATGCTTATAGATCACATTCATTTCTAAAACCTACAAAATTCCGTATATGAACACACCATAATTTACTGATCCATGCTCCTGCTGATGAATATTTTGGTCATTTCTAAATATTTACCATTATAAGCAATGTTGAGCTAATGAATAATAATATTCTTCTACGTGCCTTCTTGTATACATGTGAGTTTCTCTAAGACTATTTATCTAGAACTGCTAAGTTGTAGGGTATGAGCATCTTCAAACTGCTCTAATTTGTGGCACCAGTTACGTACCCACCCACATTATACAAAAGTTCCCCTTGCTCCACATTCTTGGCAACAGTTGGTATCAATGTTTATGAAAAGCTGACTTAGAGTAGGTCATTCCTCTGTTCAGACCCTTCGATGGCATCTCACTCAAGCAAAAGCCAAAGTCTTCACTTGCTTACAAGACCCTACATGACGTGCCCCTCCACACTGTCCCTCTGACCTCAGCCACTAGACACGCTTGTTCACTTTGGCCCAGTCACACTAGACCCTTCACTGTTCTTTGAGCACATGAGGCAAGCTCCTGCTCCAGGGCCTTTGCACGTGCTGAGCTCTCTGTTTCAAATGCTCTTCTCTGAGATACCTATATGTATTGCTCCCAATTCCTTCAGGCATTTACTCAAATAAATTTAAAAATTTTTTAAATTTCAAATCCACCCACCTACGCAAACATTTACTGTCTTTCTTCTCTGCTTTTAAATTTTCACCTTAGCATTTATCACTAGCACACTATGTATTGATATTTTACCTATTTTCTTTGTCTATTGTTAAACTTAGATTATAAACTCCCTCAGGGCAGGGATTTTTGTGTTTTATTTACTACTGTACCTCCAGTGCCTAGAAAAGTGTTCCGTGTTTGTTGAATTAATTGAATGAATGAATGAAGACAAGCCAATTTGTATGCTTGCTAAAATAATGGACATAAATAATATCCTGTTTAAATTTTTTTTTTTTTTTTTGCTGTACACGGGCCTCCCACTGTTGTGGCCTCT